GGCGTGCCGCCCGAGCTCCCCGGGCAATTTCGGTTAGGCTTTGCCTGAGGAGCACCGGCGTCGCCGAGCTCCCCGCGGCAATTTCGGTTAGCTTTGCCTGAGGAGCACCGGCGTCCGCCCGAGCTCCCCAGTAATGCGGCCGTTTCCTTTCGTCTGGCAGGGCGCCCGCGTCCGGCCCTGCGAAGGCATCTGCTGGGGCGGAACCGTCCAGAGACCGCAGGACTGGGTTCCAGTTCGGCCAGGCCTCCCTGGCTGAGCCAGCTCTGCGGCGTGGACGCGGAGGACTGGAGTGTTTCGATTCACAGACTGTGGGAGCTGGGAGGCCTGAAGATGGGCTCGGCAACCTTTCTGTGTTACAGATGGCGGAGTCAAGGCGGCTGGGAGGGTAAATCACCCTTCCAAGGTCGCACAAAGGCGTTTCCAGGTGAACGCAGGCATCTTGATTCCTAGCCGGGCTCGGCTACAACACCGAGCTGTTTTCCAGGGCGCATCCGGCAACGGGCTCCCTCGGGAGTCGGGGCTAGCCGTGTCGTGCGCGAGGGGACGGCGGCAGCCTCAGCCAAGGGCCGCCCCGGTCGGGGCCGCCGCCCCGGTCGGGTGCGCTGAGCGGCCCGGGGCTCCCGGCCAGGCCCCGCCCCGCCCCGCCCCAGCCCTGGACCGCCGCGGCCCCGAGAGCCCAAGCGCGCCGCACGCTGTGAGATGAGAACAGCACTGCAGACGAAAAAAAAAAATAAATAAATAATTAAATGTAAAAAAGGTATACCATATCTCTCTTTAGCATTGTTAAAAGGAAAACATAAGGGAGTGTGGGTGTTAATGTTAAGTTTTTTCTTTTTTTTTTTGAAACAGAGTCTCACTCTGTTGCCCAGGCTAGAGTGCGGTGGCACCAACCTAGCTCACAGCAACCTCAAACTCCTGGGCTCAAGCAATCCTACTGCCTCAGCCTCCCAAACAGCTGGGACTACAGGCATGCTCCACCATGCCCAGCTAATTTTTTCTATATATATTAGTTGGCCCATTAATTTCTTTCTATTTATAGTAGAGATGGGGTCTCGATCTTGCTCAGGCTGGTTTCGAACTCCTAACCTAGAGCAATCCGCCCGCCCTGGCCTCCCAGAGTGCTAGGATTACAGGCGTGAGCCACCTCGCCTGGACTGTGTTAATGTTAATTTATCTTCACTTTCTTGCTGGGGGGTCTGGGGCCTCTGCCCAAGGGTGGTTTGTGGTTCAGATCTGTACACACCCATTGAAGACTGTCCTTCTATCTTCAGACTGGCATGGTACTTCCATAGACAAAAACCTTCTGGATGCCGTAATATTGAACACTACCAGAATTGGCCACGGATTTGCTTTGAGCAAACACCCAGCCATCAGAGCTTTCTCCCAGAAAAAGGACATCCCCATAGAAGTCTGTCCCATCTCCAACCAGGTATGCATGACTCCTGGGACTAACCCAGCGTGGTCTTCTCCCCTAACTTCACCCTCTGTTCTGATTCCCAAACCTTTTCTTGTATAATTTCTATTTTCTAAACTCACTAGTTTTCTCTGTTCCTCCACTCTCCCCACTCCCTTTAGTAACATTATTTAGGAGTGGCCTTTTGCCTAAACCAGTCATCATAATGAGGCAGCAGTGAGGGTCCCCAGTGGGGTGGAATTTGGGGCACAGCTGTGGACAAAGCAAAAGGGACACTGAGGGCGGCCAGTGGGGTGGGAAGGGCCCTGGGATACTGCTGCTTCCGACTGTTTCTTGGGGTCCTTTGTGCACGTGCTGTCTCAGGAGAGCTCTGAGCCATACCCAGGGTGAGTCAGACCAAACGTCTGTGGTGCTGATGAAACTTGGAGAACATAGAGCTCGAGGACTTGCTATGTCCCCATGTCTCCTTGTGACTCTGCCCAGAAGTCACCCCAGTGCTCAGAATGGTGATGGGGACAAAAAGGAGCTGCCTGTGCTCGAGGTCTGGGCTCCCTGTGATGACTCTTTGTGGAGTAGAGCTTGCCCTTCTCCTTGCCTCCTACTGGGCAGGTCCTGAAATTGGTGTCTGACTTGAGAAACCACCCTGTGGCCACCCTGATGGCCATTGGGCAACCCATGGTGATCAGCTCTGACGACCCAGCTGTCTTCGGTGCCAGAGGCTTGTCCTATGACTTCTACGAGGCCTTCATGGGCATTGGGGGGATGAAGGCCGACCTGCGGACCCTCAAACAGCTGGCCATGAACTCCATCAGGTGAGTGTCCTGTGTGCGGCCTGGCCTGCCTCCCTCCAGCCCGCAGCCTGCGTTTGTTTGCTCCTGCAAGAGGTCTGCAGCAGGTGTCCCCAGGGCTCCTGTGGGTCTGCTCCATGTCATCGCTGCTGAGTCCTTGCTTGCGGACTGGGAGACACATGCTCTGCAAGACTCTGACATCCCCTCAGTCTCCTGCCCCTCCCCCAGCCCTTCCTGGGGCTGACCGAGCTCCTCCTCTTCCTGCAGGTACAGCGTCCTGTCGGAGGACAAGAAAACTGCTCTCATGGAGACCTGGGAGAAGAGATGGAAAAAGTTCATAGCTGATGTGGTTACGCAGTGAGGAGAAGACGGCCATCCTCCGCACACCTCCTCCCGTCGGTAGCCTGTCTCCAATCCACTCCCGCGCCCTGGCGCATCAGTGGCCTCCGTGTTGACTGACCCGTCAGAAACTCTAGGCCAGCTGACCAAATTCACCATAAACGTTCTCCTCTCTCAGCTGCAGTGACATCAGCCCCCTTGGCTGCCTCCTCTCTCTGGCTTCCGATTGTGTTGCTTCCCCAGCTCCTCCTCCTCTGGGCTCTGTTGCTTCCAGGCTCAGTCCTCTCTCTCTGTTTCTTTGCTTATAAATACCATTTGTTTGTTGATGATCCCCAAATTTATTCATTCACTTACGGAGCTCTCAGCAATCTCAGAAACCAAGTATGTGCAATTGTGAACTCGCTACCCTTCCCTTTCCCCTTTCCCCGGCCTTCCCCCCACTTGGTAAATTCTACCTGGTTGCTCAAAGCAGAAATTTTCAGTGAAAGTCTTGATGCTGCTCTGCCCTGCTCCCTACACAGAAATGTACCTTGAGTCCATCTGTGTCTTCCACCTCCACTGCTGTCAGCAAGTCCAGGCCACTGTCGCCTTAGCCTCCTAGCTGATCCCTCTTTCTTCTCTTTGCTTCCTCCAGTTCATTTTTCATAGAGCTGAAGGGCGTGCTGCATCCTGTTTAACCTGGATCCCTCCCAGCGCCACCCTGCCTCAGGCTCCCCAGTGCCCCAGGCCCTGGCCACACTGGCCCTTTGTTCCTCCAGTGTCCCAAGCTCTACCCTGTGCCAGGGCCTTTCTCATTCTCTTTGCCTGGAACATTCTTTCCTTGTCTACTTCACTCCTGTTTACCCTTTAAGTTTCAGGTTCATGTCACCATCTCAGAGAGGTTTTCTCAGCCCCCTGCCCTATTACTCTCTCTCTCAGCACCTTGCTCTTTTCCTTCATGACTCCGATCACAGTTTATAATCATGTATTTATTTTCGTGTTTACAGTCCTGCCCTGCCAGACTGTAAGTAAGCCCCATGTGGGCAGGCACTAAGATTGTATCTGATTGTTTCACACATGTGCAAACCCAGAGCCTAGCCCCAAACCTAGTTAGTACTCAATAAAAGATGCATTGAATGAATGGGGTCACTTGTCTCCATTTAGCTGGCTGCTGAGGCAGTAGGGAGTAGAGTGGAGTCTCCCCAGACAAAAGACCTCCTGTGATCAGGTTTTGGATCCTAGCCTGGCCTTTGGGAGGCAGAAGGCAAGAAGCCAGCACTGTCCTCACCCAGCTAAAGGATGTGAAGGAATCAAAGTATTCCCTAAAAGTCCCACGTGTTTCAAGTGTCTTCCCATCCATCATCCATCACCTGCATCCACACTCCTGGGCAGTGGCCAGCCCTCTCTCCATTCGTAGTTTCCCACGGTACTAAGGGAAGCCTTGCTGACCAGGGCCAGCTAACAGGCTGTGCACATGTGGAGCTAGAAGACCTCTAAGATCTTCTCTCATTCTGAGGAGGATCCATTGCCTTAACCAATTCCAATAGATTTCTTTTTCTTTTTTTTCTTTTTTTTTGAGACATTCTAGCTTTGTTGCCCAGGCTAGAGTGAGTGCCGTGGGGTCAGCCTAGCTCACAGCAACCTCAAACTCCTGGGCTCAAGCTCGGCTAATTTTTTCTATATATATTAGTTGGCCAATTCATTTCTTTCTATTTGTAGTAGAGATAGGGTCTCACTCTTGCTCAGGCTGGTTTCGAACTCCTGACCTTGAGCAATCTGCCCACCTCGGCCTCCCAGAGTGCTAGGATTACAGGCGTGAGCCACCGCGACCAGCCAATCCCAATAGATTTCTTAGGTCCCACCTTGGCTGACTTACATTTAATAATTGGTAAAGATGGATTTAGCAGAGTGGGCTTCTGTAGCAAGTTGCCATGGCTGCAGGGACCTCCAGCATGGGTCACAGTGCAAGGTCGCTGGCCTGGACTTGGTGTGATCTCTGATTTGGCAAAATGAACCACAACACACACTCTTGTCTCCATGTCTAGTTCCTCTTTCTTACCTTCTTCCCTTTGTGTCTAGTTCAATAGGCTGAGTCCTACTGAGCTAAATGTCCAATGGAACATTTATTATTTTGAAATAATTTCAAACCTGAAACAAGTTACAAGAATAGTACAAAGAATGTGAATATTCTGTTTGTCTAGGTTCCTGATTATTAACATTTTACAACATTTGTTGTATCATTCTTTTTTTTTTTTTTTTTAGAACAGAGTGCAATTGTCACATGTTGTATCATTCTTTTTGTCTCTGTCCATCTAAAATCTCTCTATACATATATCCTATTTTTCTCTAACCAATGAGACTAAGTTGTAGGCATTATGCCCCATTATGCCTGGATTCTCCAGTGTGCATTTACTAAAGACAGTGGCATTCTCCTACGAAGTATCTCTACCCAAATCAGGAAACGACATTGACAAGGTACTACGATCTGGCTCTGGCTCTGGCCCTGCTGAGCACGTTCTGGAGGGAGGGGAGTCCAGAACCCGGTTCAGGATCACGTGTTACACTTAGTTGCCATATCTCTCCAATCTCTTTCAGTGTGAACAGCTTCTAAGTCTTCCCTTGTCTTTTGTAACTTCAACATTTTTGAAGAGTACAGGACAGTTATTTTGTAGAATGTCCCTCATCGAAGGTGTGTCTAAAGTTCCCATAAGAAGAGATACAGGTGGCACGTCTTGAAAGGAACCCCTCAGAAGTGACATCCTGGAGTACCACACAGTGGGCACATGAATTGGGGTATGATGGGGTGACCTGAGCTGGCAAGCAAAAGCCAATTGTCATATTTTCAGCCTGTTGTGAAACTGAAATTAGTCTTTGTGGGAATTTTTACACCACAAAAATCAGCAAAGTTTACAAATCAGCAGCCCTTTGTTAAAATGTTGTTAAACATTTCCAACATACCACTGCATACAGTGTCAATTTGTCTTCACATGACAAAGGGATGATCACTTTGTTAAGGTGATGTCTGCCAAAATTTGCCACTGTAAATTTACATTATTTTCTCTATGATTAACACATGTTTGAGGCACTTTACATAAAGGTCTTATTCCTCCTAAAAACTTTCCCCATTAATTTTTGCATCCGTTGAGGAATTTTGTCCCCATCTATTTATTACTATGATGGTTGCTATTCCAGTTCTCTATTACTGCAGGTAACAAATTATACCAAACATTTTAAACAAAAGTAAGAATGTATTACCTCTCACAGCTTCTGTGGGTCAGGGATTTGGGAAGGGCCTGGTGGCCAATACTGGCCTGGGGTCTTTCATGAGGTCGAGTAACCATGGTGTCAGAGCTGGAGCAGGTGGGGCGGCCAGGTGTCTCCTTTCTCCACACAGTCTCAGGGCTCAGCCAGATGCGCTCTGCACAGGCTAGTTTGGGCTTCCTCGCAGTGTCCTCAGCTTCCAGGGTAAGTATTCTAGGGAACAAACAGAAGCCCTTGGTATCACTTCCACCATGCTCTACTGGTCAAAAATCACAAAAACCTCCTAGTTTTAACAGTAGGGGACAGAGACCCCACATTTTGATAGAAGACTGTCAAAGTTACATTATAAGAAGGGCATATAAGATGGGAGAAGCTGTTGGAAAACATCTTGGAAAATATAATCATTAAATGTTGATTTTTCTAATTCCACCATTTTGTCCATATTTATTTACCATTCTATCGTAAGCAAGAATTTATTTATTTTACCTGTGTGACTCGTGGACTCTGATTTTATTCAGTAGGGGTGATAACTCATTACTATCATTTATTTTGATGCTAACACTATTCCATATTTGGCCATGGGAACCCTGTTAATCTGGCTCTGAATAAATTCTGTAATTTTTTGAGTACTTCCTTACTTTCTGACATAATAAAATGTTCTGGGTTCACTTTGTACTTTCTCTAACTCATGCCTAAGATCAACCATTTCTCTAGGGAGCTCTGGTTCCGTTTAGTAAAAATAATATTTAGAAGCCTTGATTTGAGCACTGCATGTGCCCACTGCTACTCCAGTGTGTGTGTGTTTGTGTGTGTGTGTGTATAAAGATGCACATAAATATAATTTATATATTGAAATAGAAATACACATATAGGCCAGGCGCCCTGGCTCACACCTGTAATCCTAGCACTCTGGGAGGCCAAGGCGGGAGGATCCTTTGAGCTCAGGAGTTCGAAACCAGCCTGAGTAAGAGTGAGACCCTGTCTCTACTAAAAATAGAAAGAAATTAGCTGGACAACTAAAAATAAATAGAAAAAATTACCTGGGCATGGTGGCACATGCCTGTAGTCCCAGCTACTCAGGAGGCTGAGGCAGGAGGATCGCTTGAGCCCAGGAGTTTAAGGTTGCAGTGAGCTAGGCTGTCTCCACAGTTCATTGCTTTGTTGCTGTGAGCTAGGCTGATGCCACGGCACTCACTCTAGCTCAGGCAACAGAGTCAGACTCTGTCTCAAAAAAAAAAAAAAAGAAAAGAAATACACATATAAATATATGTACATAACTGGTCATTAAATATGAAATGTCTGATTTTGAATCCAAAGTGTAGTTTATTATATCTCACACAAGAAACAGTACAATTAATCAAAGTGTGCGCCTAAGCTATACACACAGTTTTGCCACCTTAACAGTAGCTTGTTTATGCCTCAAGTGAAGAAGCCTGTAGAGAAGTGACAATGAAATTGCCAAAGGCATTTTCCACACCTAGTTGACAATTGAATATTTTTCCTTGCAAGAAATGGTCCAAAGCCTGGAAGAAGTGGTAGTTAGTCCGTGCAAGGTCTGGTGAAAACAGTGGATGACAGAGAGTTTCTAAGTCCAGCCTCTGTCATTTGAACATTGTTGTTTTTTGCCACATGTAGTCTTGCAAGAGGATTAGCCTGCCTCTATTAACCAATCTCAGCTGCTCTATCACAAGCGTCCTCATCATTTCATCCAGTTTATTGCAGTAGACATCCATGGTAATTGATTGACCAAGTTTTATGAAACTATAATGGATAACACCAGAGCTGGATCACCAAATAGACACCATTAGCTTTTTTTTTTTTTTGTGAATGTTTGGTTTTTGACTGTGTTTTAGCACTTCATCTTTATCCAACCATTGTGCTGACTGCTTGTAATTGTCAAAAAGAATTCATTTTTCATCACACATAGTACAGTGTAGAAATAGTTCA